TAAATCCGGTCTGGACATGGCCTTTCTATGAGGGACCGCGTAGGTCCAAACCGGACTTCGTCCCAGGGAGTCTCGAGTGTCAGATCCCATGTCCCTCATGCAAAGAAAGGAGGTGTGGACGCGAGTGTCGTCCGTTTACGTCGACGTACCACCGCCGACACTAATGTGAGGAGTGTCACAAGATGGGAAGGCGCGTGGCCAGCCGGGCCGGACCAGGGCGCTAGCCAAGTGCGCTGCGCAGCGAAGCACAAGTGTGCCCGGGTGACGTCCTCGCAGTGCAGTCGCACCAGTTTTGTTTTCATTTTCGCGACTGGGCAGAGTTGCCGGTCGGCGACAAGGATCCCAGGTCAGGCAGAGTTGCCCGAGATCCGCAGTTCTGGCCGAGAGGCCCTTGTCTGGCTCCGCAGAGGTGCGACCAAAGACGCCGCTGTGGGCGAGACCGGAGGATGGAGTCCTCCCCAAAAAATAACGACGTGCGCGTGCACGCAGGCAGCAGGTGCCGTAGGAGCAGTAGGTGCCCTCTAGTCGCTCAGTGCCTCTGCTGCACTGTTTTCCGCCAGCGAAGTGCCTACCCCGTAGCGTGGGCTCTTGACCTTTGTTTTGCTCCCTGCCTGCCCCCCTCCTATGTGCTTGTCCGCAGCCATGGCCGATTCGTCCTCTACCTCTTTGGGACCCTTCTCCTTGGCAGCCTCGGGGATTCGCGGGCGACTTGAGAATGCCAAGGGTGCCCTGTCTGAAGTCAGCGGGGCAGACATGGAGATCCTGCGAGTGCAAGCATTGAGCAGTGGCTACCGAGAGTTCGGTGCCAACGAGGAAGAGGAAGTGAGGACCTTCACGGCTCTTCTTCTGGGGCTCTGCCCCCGCCTGCGAAGTCGGAGAACACGAAGCCAACCCGTGAGGCGAAGTCGTAAGAGAAAGGCGCGCCCGACAGCAAGCGGGCCAAAACCGAACAGGCTCCGAGTGAGAGCAGCTATACGTACGGGACTCCGACACCTGCGCCCAGCGAAGCAGGGGAGTCCCCACGCGACAAGGAGGCGGGCGGACAAGAGGAGGTCGACTACCACCCCCCCACCCCGGTGGAAGATCCCGGCGCGGAAGTGGGAGGAGGCGCGCCCCGGCCGGAAGTTCCGGCCCCCGGCGCCAGCCGCGGAAGTTGGCCAAGTGGCCAGTCCGCCACCCGCCGCCGCGAAAGCTGCCCCGCCCGCCGGCACTGCGAGGGCAGCCCCCGCCGGACGGGTGGAGACCAAACGGTTGGTCTTGGTCCCGGGACCTGGGGAGCCGGACAGGCTTCGCCGGGCGAGTACCCCGGGCCGTCAGGTCCGCGGGCCGCACGACGGCATCCTGGAGCTGATGGTGTGCGACGGCGGCTGCGGCGTTTGTTTGCAGCCGTTCGATGGACGAGTGTTCCGATGCCGAGTGTGCAGCTGGGGCTTCAACGGCTGGGGACCCAGTCAGCGGAGTTGGCATTGTCCCACCTGTTCCCAGGTCTTCTGCCGTTGGTGCTGTAGGGGCAGTTATCGACGCGCTTTTCGTGCCAAGTGGAACCTGTCAGTGACAGATTAGACAGAACAGAGCGCGGCGCGCGCTCGAGTGAGCGCGCCTCGGACGTGACGGCCCGAAGCCATTGCGCCCGTGTCTGCGCGCGTCGTGAAGTCACGACCTGACCTGCAAACGCCCCGAGTGGCTCCGCAGTTTTCCCCCGGGACCTCGAGTGAGCTCTCGGTGAAAAACAAGTCTTGTTTTTGTACAGAGGGTTCCTGCCGACCGCGAGTGAAGGAAAAATGCAGTCTGCACGCTGCAAGAGCTGGGCGAGTCGGTCTGTGTGCGCGTCTGCTGCGTAGCTCACTAAGGCCTCTCATGAGCCCAAGTTTTGACCGCTTGTTGCCATCCCACAAGAGCTGCTGTCACACGAGGCGGGACGTCCGCCCTCTTCCACAGAGGTCAAGGGGACGAAGCGATACTTATCGCTCAATGGGATACCGCACAGAAACTTTGCGGCATCCTTTGTGCCGTGCAGAACACCACTCATGTGGTGTACAAAACAGTCTACATCGGTCGGCACATCCGCCACCACTCGGCGCCCGCCGACAGAAACGGACGCAGGGCTTTCCTCTGGCAAGGGACGCTCCGACGTCGTTTCAGAGCTGCTGGACAGAGACTCCAGGTCTGAGCACTCGCTCTCCGAGGACGCAACGACTGCTGCAGGCGCGTCCTGCGCACTCGGCAGCGATCCCAGACGCAGAGGCCCTTTCGGGAACTGCTGGGAGTACGCCGCGTCCGGGCAGAACTCTCCGCAGCGAATACACAGGAGGACTTCCTCCAGCCGGGCAGCCGCCGGGCGCAGGACATGGCGACTGTATGTTTCGGTCGACTTGGCCGCCTCGTGCACGTGGTGGGCCAAGAGGCGTCTGTGATCGAGCTCCATCCCTGCCATGGAGGCCCAGGTGAGGCACGTCGTGCTGAGCCTGTTCGTCGCGTCGGAAGACTTCTCCCGCAGCGCGTGTCGCAGCCACTCGGTTATCTCGCGCGACGTCATGGGGCGCCAAGACGGGGTGCCGTCGGCCGTGAAACTGGGCTCACAGGCAAACCAGATCACTGGGGCCAGGAGAGGGACGCGCAGGCGCGCCCTGCTTCCACATGCTGTCTTGCAGCCTTATTGACCTCGCCGGACAGCCAGCTGGTCACTTGACCAGGCGAAGGCAAGGAGACGTGCAGGCTCACCGCTCGCGCTACGTCGCTGGCTCTGGCACAGGCGAACCTCATGAAAAGGAGGGCGCCAGCCGTGCAGGAGTCCGGCGAGCACTCGCTCGCCATGGCGATGGCCTCCAGCTCCTTGACTTCGTCCAGCCTCAGCGCTGGAGCGCGCTTGGGCGGGGGGGCTGCTGCCTCTGACCCTTTGGCCAGGCCACTGAGGCGTGAGCTGGACAGCGCGCGTTTCTTCACTCGGAGCTCCAGCACTGCCGCGAACCAGTGCAATGCCTCCAGGAAGCTTCGCGGCCTGCTCCACGAACCACCGTCATCCTGCAGGTGGCGGAAGTAGCCCCACACGCACGCTTCCGTTACTGGAAAAGGTTGGACTTCGGCATGCGCGGCCCACTTGAGGTAAAGGTTCATGGAGCCCAGGCGCTTGATGATGGTGTTGGTGGCTTTGTGCGCTGTGGCGCAAGCCACGTTCAACGACAACTCGTCGACGTCCACCCCGCCATCCGAACTTGTCGCCAACTCCGCGACCCCGAAAGAGGTCGGCCACTTTTCGGCAATCTTCCCTAACTGGAACAGGGCATTTTGCCTTTTAGTAGACTCAGTTTCTCGTCCCGAGCAGGCCTTGGCCGCCCAGGAGAACTGTTTCACTGGACCACTTGGTTCTTGCTTTGCTGAGGCCTCAGATGCTGTCTGAGGGAGGGTCCCGGGGTCCTCCACCCAATCGAAAGAGACCTCTCGGCTCACCGGCCAGGCAAACACTGCCTTCCAGCGGTCCACGGCCCTTCGCCGCTTCGGGGACTTACTTACTCCCTCGAACTGTGGCCGCAGCCCAAAGGCGATCCGGGCCGTCCATTTACACGACGGTCAAAACCCCGGATCAACGACTTGAGCCTTCGCTCCAGCGTTTGAAACGACAATGGTCGCCGCACTCGCACGTACTGGCTCTTTCTGCAGGCGATGCTGGGGCTCGAAGTGAGACGTGAAATTGGCGCCCGGCCCTGAGACGGCTTTTCACTTGCTTTCTCTCGCCCTGTCAGGTCATGGCTGCCTTGGTGGACAGTGAGACGGAATTTGTGCGACGAGCGGTGGCTATCCTGGGGGATGCCGCCGCGGCAGTTTTGAGCAGTGAAGAGATAAACTCCTTCGCTACGCTGGCTTTCAGCGTCTGTACTCAACCCAATCAGGTGAATGACCAGTCCGTGGCGGACTTGGCCGGCAAGTTGTTTGGGGAAAGCCCCAACATGGGCCAGCTCGGCAGGTTGCGTCGCCTGGTGTTCGAGAGTCTGTTGCTCAGCCTCGAGGACATTTCCTCCAAGACAGAGGCGGAACCCGGGGCAGCGAAGTCGCTGCCCCTGTTGGAACGCGAGAAAGTTCGCCAGCAACAAGTCTCCAGGTTGAGCGGGCTCTTGTTGGAGGGCGACCTGGAGCCGGGGTACTCCTTGGTTGACAAGGCCGCGGCCATGGCACAGGACGGAATCGTGCGGTACCTGGCGCTGAGTGTGTGCTGCAGCAGAGACTCCGAGGTGGCAAGTGCCAAAAAGGACAAAGACATACTGGCTATTGAGAACGGTGAAGTCACGGTGAGAAAGCGAGAGTCCGCGGGACAGGTGGACCTCGCGAACGAATCCAAAATAGAGAAGGCCTTCACTCGCCGCGGAGTCGCATTGGATAGGGTTGGCATCCTCACTTTCGCGGTGCACGAGAAAACCATGCGGCATTTCTTCCTGCTCGCAAGTCGACAGCCGCCCCCGGGTTTCGAGAGGCCGTCGGTGTGGTCCGTGGTACGGGCGGACAAGGAATTGTGGCTGCAGTGTGGCGCGCGAGTGCCCAACCGGCTGCAAACCGAGTGGCGGCGTGGCCCCTTTGGACGCACTGTTGGAGAAGCATCGCAACGACACAAGTGTGATCTTCGCCTTGATGCCTGTGCACGCGAGAAAGCCCGAGTGGACTGGCAAAGGCAAAGGTGGCCCCAAAGGCAGCCCCAAAGGGGCAGGGAAAAAGGGAGCCAGCAAAGGAAAAGGAAAGACAATCAAGAAATGGACGAAAGCAAAACCCGAGTGGGAAAAGGTGCGGAAGCCCAACATGCCACGCGAGCTAAAGCAGTTCGATCCAGAAGACGACCAAGGCAGAAAGTTCTGCTACGCCTTTAACCTCGAGGGCTGCGAAGCAAAATGCTCCGGAGCCCCGCCCGAGTGCGGACGAGGGGTGCGCGTGTGCATGAGCTGCTGCAGCACCAGCCACGGAGCGTCAGAGTGCAAAGTTGCCAAAGCAAAACAAGAGTGACTAATTAGAGAGCCATGTCTGATCCAGAATCGGCCTTTCTGGTAGAGCTCTGGACAGGCAGCGGCACTTTGCCCGCAGCCGCGCACAAGGCAGGCTTCGCGTCCGCAGCCATAGACCCCGCGGGTAAGTGCTTCAAGGCCAAGTCGGTAGCTTTGGACCCCGAGGTGCCCGAGGACATGGCCCTCATCTTCGACCTGCTGCAACAGCCGGGCAACAAGTGGTGCCATGTCAACCTGCCCCGCCAGACGGTGGCCCGAAAAAGCTTTCGTGCAGGTGATGCGGTGGCACGGCTCTTGCGCGACATGGACTCTCGCGGGGGGCTGTGGTCGGTCTGGATGATGGAATGGGGCGCCAAGTGGTGCAACGGGAAACTTCGGGCCACGATAGCCTCCGCCAGTACCATCCAAGTGGATTGCTGTATGTGGGGCGGATCGGATAAACGCCGCATGGTGCTGGCCAGCAACAGGCAGTGGTTCCTTCGCCTGGCCCGTACCTGCGACGGCTCTCACGAGCACTACAGGCCCAAGCCGGCTCCCGGACAGGCGCGGGCTGAGTGGCCCCCGGCCCTGGCACCGGCGGCGGTGGCTTGCGTCGTGAACCAGATGCCGGAAGCCTGCAGCGTGCGACACGCCAGCGAGGACAGGTACTGCCCTCAATTTGTGCGAGAAGTTCGCTTGGCAGGAACAAGTGTTCGCCGTTTGCAGCGACTCTTTCCCCCCTGCCGGGTGGAGTCCGCCCTTGGCCGAAAGGCACCGTGCTCAAGAGCATCAACTCGACCTTCACGGAGGCCAAGCTGGCGGTGCCAATAAGCGCGCCCGAGTGGTGCCTGCGCGCCAGCCGCCTCGTGGCGCCCGAGGGTATGGAGGCAGCGTTGCCGTCGGATCTTCTGCACTGCGTTGAGCAAGAGACCACCCAAACGGTTTTCGACTTAAGTAAAATCCGGGTGGCGAAGTTGCGGGCTCTGCTGCAGGACCTCGCGGCCGGGCACGCAGAAGAGCAGGCCCTTCCGGACACGCTCCCAGCGGAAGTGGCACGGGTGACGGCGGGCAAGTGCACCGTGGCCCTCAAGAAGACGCTGGAACGGCTCGGGCACCGAGACAGTCGCTGCGCGGACGAAATCCGCGAAGGATTCCCCCTGGTGGGTTGGCTGCCGCCTAGCGGACTGTGGAAGATGGACCTGAAACCACCGGTGGTTCCGCCCTGCGTGCTGCTGGCCCACCAGAAACGATTGACCGAGAAGTCGCGCGAGGCAGCGCTCCACAGTGCCGGCGCCCACCTGGCGCCGCAGGTTTGGCGCGAGACCAGCGCTGAAGAGAGCAAGGGGTGGCTGAGCCTGATATGCAAGGAGGAGGCCCGAGTAGTGTCTCCTCGTTTCGGCATCACTCAAAAGAACAAGATTCGAGTGATAGACAATTTCAAAGCGAGCCTGGTGAACGCGGCTTGCGGCACCACAGAGAAAATCCAAGTGGATGGAGTAGACCGAGTGATCTCTTTGTGCAGGGCCTTGCTGCGCGCGAAGCCCTCCAGCCAACGGAGAATCGTAGGCAGAACGTGGGATCTGCAAAGTGCATACAAGCAACTCGCGGTGCGCGATGCCGATAAGGCGTTCGCGCACATTTGTCTTCGTGACGAGGAAGGCGCCCTCCGTTTCGCCCAGCTGCACGCACTCCCTTTTGGCAGCGTGGCGAGTGTCCACCCTTTCCTGAGATGCAGCGAAGCCATCAAGTGTGTGGCTCGTCGCGCCCTGCTGCTGGCAATCACGAGCTTCTTCGATGACTTCACCGTAGTGACTTCAAGTGAAGCTGCCGCGCTCGTGTCCCAGCTAGTGGAATCGTTATTTCGTGCTTTGGGCTGGACGGTCGCCACGGACGCGAAGAATAACTCGCCTTTCAGCGAGAAGTTCTCAGCACCTTAGGTGTCGAAGTCGACCTTTCCGACCAGCGCAAAGGAATTATCCGAGTGGGAAATACTTCCGACAGGCGCCGTGAGTTGGGCGCGGCCCTGCGAGCAGTGCTCGAAGCAGGGGCCATGTCGTTCGAGGACAGCCAGACGCTGCGAGGCCGTCTGATTTTCGCCGAGCAGCACGTCTGGGCCCGCAGCACTAGGCAGGCGGCGATCCTTGTCGGGGATGTGGACCCAGCGGCGAAGGGGAAAGTTCCCCTGACAGAGGTGCAGCGTAAGGCCGCGGAACACCTGCTATGCCGAGTGGCAAACGGAAAACCTAGAGAGCTGCACATCTCCCCAATGAAGCAAAGGCTGTTGTGGATAGATGGTGCTTGCGAGCCTGGCGATGAAGGAGCGCCTGTGTGTTCCTTTGGAGCAGTGCTCCTCGAGAACGGTGAGTACCAGCATTGGGGCAGCCGGCTTGATGATGAGACCGCACGCGAGTGGGTGCGTAGGACAGGCAAAAGGCAGCTCGTTTTTGAGTGCGAGCTTTTGCCTTATTTGCTCAGCCTCGCTCAGTGGAGCGAGTCGCTCCAAGGATGCAGGCTGCTAGTCTTCATAGACAACGACGCCGCAAGGGCGTCCCTCAGTAAGGCCTTCGCCCGCCGGTTGGAAGGCGGCCGCATAGTTTCCAAGTGCGTGGCACTTGAAGAAGACCTCCAAGTGGAAGCTAGCCCAAGTCAAGCTTTGGGAGCTCCTTTCAAGCTGAACCTTCATGCTGTATTCCAATGTTCTCACTGGTGCCATGGTTACATGCCTCAGGTGTGCCGTGTACCGGCCACCTCTGCGAACATGAGAGCCGTCTCTTCGGCCTCTTCGTACTCGGCTGCTAATAGATGGCTTCCGGTGCGCTTGAGTCGCGTAGCTCGTAGTCTGGTGAGCTCCGGCTCCTACGGGCAAGAACCCAAGTTTTTGCGTAGTCGTTGTACTTAGTTGCTACCTTGAGTGGCCGCGGTAATACACCGTGTAACTAGCTCGCGAGTAGGTCAGACCAGACCACTGCGGTTCAAAGTCGAAAAAAGTCGACGGCCCAAGTAAGCCCCATTTCGGCTCATAGCACGGCTCTGAAGCTGTGGCTTTTGTGTAGAGGTTAGAGGCGAGGCTGGTGGGGCTAGCGCGCGCCGTAGGCCGCTAGGGTAGGTTCGATGATCGCCTGCAGAATGTTTTCATGATGGGCATGCTACTTGAGGTCGATGTGGGGCAAGCAATGCCTTGGGAGCAGGCACCGTCCCCTCCTTTTGAGTCCTTTCGTGATCTCCTGGAGGAGGAGCTGAGCCCGCTGGACTTTCACTACAGATGGGCCCTGCGCTTTGGGCCGACGACGGCCATGCCAGCCTGGCTTGTACATCTTAGGCGGCATGCACCAACCCGTGCTGATCCTCTCCCCCGTACCGAGGTCTCCTCATGGCGGGGGGCCAATTCGAACCCACCAGGTCCTAGGGACGGTACTCACCACGAAGCGGCGCGGGTGGAACATACCCCCCTGAACTTTGCCGATTTTCGGGATCTGCTGGAGGCGGCTTTGCCCCCACCAGAGTTGGCGTGGAGGTGGGCTAAACGGTACGGAATCAGACCGTACCCGCGGTGGCTACAACACCTGCAATCAGACAACCGGAACCTCCTTCCGATAGAGTCTGCCCTCCTGTCACATGCCACGGGGGATCTACGGATTGGACAGCCCTTGTCCCGCACTGAGGATGGGCTGAACAGCGCCGACCATTTTATATCCTCGCAGCTGGCCGAGGCGACACACCCGCTGATTTTTCAGATGAGATGGGTTGAGAGATATGGCGGGGATCAAGCTTACCCAGAGGGGCTCGCAATGCAAGTGCTGGACTCCTATCAGCAAGCCAATGGTTTCTCACCTCTCCAAGCTGGAAACGGGGACTCCCCTCCAGCGATGGCGACCACTGGAGCCAGCACCATTCAAGATGCTGCTGGGGGTAGCTCGCCAGCCTACACTCGGAGCCGCTCCCATAGCCCCACCCCCTCGGAGATTGCACGGGCCCTATGCCCGAGCGAGGACGTTAGCGAGAATACTACTTCGACTACCACGTGGGCACCCAAATCGCAGCAGAGCGGTGAGGGCGAACGAGATTCCCGGAGCCGCGGCTATACCCCTACCCCTTTCGAATCGCGACTCCTTGAGCAAGGACTCCATGCGATGGAATTTCGTCACAGGTGGTTTCTTCACTACGGCAGAGCGGATTATCCACCTGGACTCTTCCCACTCATCATTGAAGCGTCCAGAAGAGGCAGAAATTCCAGGCTGAGGAATGCAGAGACAGGGGCCTCAGAGGGAGGCAGGACAGAGAGTACGAGAGGGGCAGCGGCGCCGACTAGCAGCACCCCCCCCTCACCGCAGCTTTTACGCTTCTTAGATGCCATCGATGCCCCACTCGAGCCAAGGCCTTACGTCATGGCATCGGATGCTCACCAGGCAGCCTTGGACCAGCTGCTGGCAACGCAAACAGTCCACGCTTCGGACGGTCCTCTTAGTTCCCTATACACGGATCTAATGGGAGTTCAGCCCGGCATTTTTGTGGTCGAGTGGCACAGGCGTTTCCACAACATCCCGATTCCCACCGAGCTGATGGCGGAAATTCTGAATCCGGCGAGAACGCAGACATTCCACGGCCCAGGGTTCTGAGGACTCCTCACCCTGGATCCCCGCCTCAGCCACGGGAGCAGGCAGCAGAGAACGATCCCCATACAGGATGGTAGACTCCACAAAAGGACCCGTAGAGGCGCGTCCAGCCGTGATGGGCGGCCTGTGGATCCCCATGTCCTGGGAGGGGGAGGACCAGGCAACTTCTGTGGCGGTGAGGGAGGGGGCGAGCAACTGCTCGCGCCCCGCACCATACCGGAACCTAACCCCACCCCCCCAGGTAACAGCAGCCACGTACCCCCATGCAGCATATGTGGATTTCTTAATCCGCCGAGAGTCTTCACACCGCGACCGGGGGAGCCAGGTTCAGCGACCTCTTTTCAGGCATGCTCGTTGACAGGGCAGCCGATTGAAGGGCGACCTACGCCAGGTGAAATTTTCTTTTACGGAGGTGCCCTTCATACAATACCTATGTACCGGCCTAGACGGGCTACTACGCCCTCACGGTCTCGCTCGAGAGGGAGGGAGGCGGGAAGAGCACCTGGCCCTACTGAACGTGCTCTCTGCTCGTCTGGTGTCAGGACAGACGCCCTCCCGGAGCGGGTGGCGGACGGGGATAGTAACCAGAACGGTCACGCCCTCAGCGGCCCACACCTGTCTCCCGCACTTAGGAGGCAGGGACACCTGCAGCACAGCGTAGTCGCCGCACCAGCTTTTGCTGGTTGTGACGATTCTCCACCCCTGCCAAGCGGGTCTAAGGCCCAGGCTAATCGACAACAGACGCACATCTCAGGACCAGTATTCTGGACATCCTCCCCTGCAGCGACAGTCTCGGCATGGATAGCTGCAGGCCAGGCTCGATCACTCCATGCTAGTGTGAGCCGCGTGACCAGACTGCCCCAGGCGACACGGCTTGCTTCAGAACAGCGGTCTCCGCTCTGCGCGCGACTAAGAGCATGGACTGCCCAAAAGGGGAGAGCAAGACTCCTTATAACTCTGCCCTCATCCAGTGGGACACTAAGGTCGCACCGTGAGTTTTGGGCGGATGCAACACTCATCTATATGAATCACCAGACCGCCGGCACCCACGGCCCAGGCTGCTGGGGAAAAAGCCTCAGGACCTCAAATGTTGCCGGCTTTGCAAGACAGGTTGATGACCTAAAGCCGTTGCACACTCCTGCGCATGACCCGCGGCTTACTCCCGCTACCGTCACTGGCAATCTACAGACTCTCCCTCCATCGCACTGCAGGGCTTACCCTGTTATCCTCGAGCTTGCTCCAACCCACCCACTTGCCACGAAACGCCGCTGGCAAGCCCTCCTCTGCTCCGCCACATGGTGGCTACGACCGGTCTCCGCATACCAGGCGAGGCTACCCGATCCCTCACCCTCTGTGGACATTGCCGTCGGTATAGGCAACAGACGCCAAGCGCTTGCAGAGCGGCCTCCGCTCTGCGCAGCACTCAGTGGTCTGTTCCTACGCATGGAAGTCCAGAATCTCCCTCTGGCACAGAAGCGTGCACCGCTTAGGCTTCGCACAGTCCGGCCCTCGCTCTGGCTCAGAGGGGCCGCTTCTTCTACATCTCTTGCGAAGCCCCGGCGCAATCTTATCCGCACAGGCAACCCGACCACAAGACGACACTGCAGTCGACAGATTGCCCCGTGCACGCCTCAGGTGACCAGACAATATCACCGCAAGCAGCCTTCAGGCCACTGGCAAAACCTCACTTGCAGCCATTCGAACCCTAAGACCTCACGGGACCGCAGCTCCCGCCGTCTCCCTTCCTACCTTCGCAATGCTGGACTTCCGCCCAACGGGGCGCTGGCAGCAGCTCGGGAAGAGGCATGGGCGAAAGCTAAGGCGAGGGCACAGGGTGCGCAAGCTGGACAGATCGGCCCACCACCCGCCCTTTGAGGGGGGAACGCACCCCCTTCGCCTGGGCGGGAGTTTCCTGCCCCGGCTGCTGCACAACTCGAAGTAGGACTGGCAGCCGGTGAACCACCAGGACCAGCACCGCCACCTCACGAAGAAGCGGGGCAGCCACCCGAAGCATTGCCAGCATCACCTCTTCGTGACCGTCCGGACCAGCATGCAGCTCCCGGTCCGCAACCAGACGAGGTCATCATGGCCAGGGCCCGCCGCTGGGCTGAATCCGACTCCGAGCCAGACCAGGACCTCATGGAGACGGACAGAGCAGCAGAGGAGATACCAGAGGCACAGAACAACGCCCCACACCCTGGACCTGCGGACTCCGCTTCCAGGGGAGAGGAGCGATCAGCCGAGGAACAGGCTGAGAACGCCCTGCAGCCACAGAGGGCAAGCCCACAGGATCGCATGGACATTGGGTCGCCTCCCTCATCCTC